CATTATTCTTAGGTGAACTCCATTTTTGAGACGGTGGTTACTGTATTTTATTGATTTATTTACTGCATACATTCGCGTAAACAGACAGACAATAAAGAGAAGCGTAAAAGCGAAGCGAACTGGAACGCTAGAAGGGTAGTTAGTGGCTAACCGAATGCGACGAACCACGAGTAAGTATTCATATTGGTGTACTGCCCAGCAGTTCGCTCCGTTCTCCTATATGGCTGTGAAACATGGCCGTTAAGGGTAGAAGATGTGCGTAGGTTACTAGTATTCAATCACAGATGTTTAAGAAGCATTGCTCGTATTTCGTGAGACAACCGAGTAAGCAATGCTGTCGTTAGGAAACGAGTACTAGGTAAGGACGGCAGATCAATAGATAAAGTAGTGAAACTTCATCAGTTGAGGTGGTTGGGACATGTGTTACGTATGGCTAACCACAAACTGCCTCGACGAGCTCTGTTTTGTGGTGTAGGAGTAGGTTGGAAGAAGGCTAGGGGCGGTCAAACCAAAACATGGCAGAAATCCATGAAATCACTGACTAGTGGAGTGAGTCATATTGGTACATGTAGACTACCTGGTTGGGGTCCACGAGACGAAAGTCACCAATGGTTAGAGACCTTGAACGACATGGCTCAAAATCGTTTGCAATGGCGCAAGTGCATCTATTCTTTGAGCTCTCTCAAATCCTAATCTTTTGGATTCGTCGGCACCTCTACCTTTGTCATTCTAAACTTATCTCACTGAATTATACTTCTTGAATAATATCTTCAAACCCTATTCTTCTTCATTACCATTAATACCTCTACTATCTCTATCACTATGGGATTTGATTTGACATCTGCGTCTTTGTGATAATGTGGTATGACAACATGAACTTATGTACATACGTACGTAGTTCTACGTTGCAACTGACTGACTGACTGAAGTATTCATATTCAGACAAAAAATAAGCTAAACATGAGATAGGTGAATATTAAGCAATACACACACACACACACCCATGTTACAATAAACACAAACAAAGCCACTAGCAAATAATTGATAAGGTCAATTTAGACGGATGAATAACAACCCGAATTAGAATAGGCTGGCGGACAAGCCGTCTGGGTTTGATATATCCATACACACTATAGCGTCATTACTCTGGATAAAATGCTTTGAGATAACGTGACAACGTTGAGCTTATTGCTTGCTACTTGTTTTGTAATTATGAGTTAGAACAAATTCGGAACTTAATGAAAAAATAGTTATTTCACTTTTTTTTATTATTTAACAGTAAATATATCCGCACCAACCAAATCACTCTTGATGGAGATGCCTTGGAGGACGTTAACACCTTTACATATCTGGGCAGCATCATCGACAACCATGGTGGATCCGATGCAGGTGTGAGGGCGCGGATCGGTAGAGCAAGAGCTGTATTTCTACAGTTGAAAAATATCTGGAACTCAAAACAACTTTCAACCAAAACCAAAATCAGGATTTTCAATACAAATGTAAAGACAGTTCTACTGTATGGAGTGGAAACATGGAGAACTACCAAAGCCATCATCCAGAAGATACAAGTGTTTATTAACAGTTGTCTACGCAAAATACTTTGGATTCGTTGGCCAGACACCATCAGCAACAACGTACTGTGGGAGAGAACAAACCAGATTCCAGTGGAGGAGGAAATCAGGAAGAAGCAGTGGAAAGGGATAGGACACACATGGCGGAAAGCACCAAACTGCGTCATGAGACAAGCCCTCACATGGAACCCTCAAGGCAAAAGGAAAAGAGGAAGGCCAAGGAACAAATCACGCCGAGAAATAGAGAAAGATATGAGAGGAATGAAAAAACATTGGACAGAACTGGAGAAGGAAGCCCAAGACAGAGTTGGTTGGAGAAAACTGGTGGGCGGCCTATGCTCCATTGGGGGTAACAGGCGTAAGTAAGTAAGTAAATATTTCCAATCTAGAATATTATTGACTTATATTGAGGTAATGATATCGTATATCACGAATATTTTTTATACCTCAGTTATTTATAAAATTCAGTATTAATTATATAATCTTAACTAAGTGATTATTATTATTATTATTATTATTGAACATTGAATAGGTGGTCTGATCAATCAGTTGAAAAAAAGTGTATATATACATACCAATAATGATTGATGAGCGTAAACATAATATTATGACAAAAATCATTATCGAAAATAACTAAATCATCAGTTTTTGATTTGTCTAGTTAACAAACATTATTGATTACAGTCAGTGGTTGGTTTCTTTGTAACTAGCTAGTCATGTCGCGTTCAGTAATAAATACTACTAAAATATAGTAGAAATAAGTAATTTAACTGAATTCTGCATAATACCTATTAACTTGCACAGTTAAACAACTGAGACAGATATATATATATATATATATATATATATATATATCGATATATATATATCGATATATATATATCGGAAAACACTTAAATTATTAAGCATATAGACATTAAATCTTTCAAAATATTCAGTAATAAATAATACAAACGTGTCTAGTCTAGGGCATTAACGTTGATGGACTTTGAAATGATCAAATAACTGGTTCATTCAATCAATTGAAGATGCATGAATTTAACTTCAATTTTACAAGTAAGTAAGTATTGTGTGTGTGATTAGCAATTAACAAGTAGTGTTGTGTTGTGCCTCTGTTCTATTTGGGACATTTCTAATACTACTGTGGTGCGAGCTACTTATAAGTAGTATATGACGCGAGTGTCAACGTTATGTCTGGCAGCAGAAGATAGGGGGGAAGATCAAGAAAGGAAGAGTTAGAAAACAATGGAATTCGTATGAAACGCATGAACAGTGACAATGGATTGATGTTTTGCAATAGGAACAGTCCAGTTCGACACGATGAACTGATATTTTGCAAATTAACGATTTGCGATATGGTTTTATGATTTTACTGAGTAACTCTGTAATTTTTGTTGAATACAATTCGGTTGCCCTCACCTGTGTTCTCGTTCACTACACTACTATATATATATATATATATATATATATATATATATATATATATATCAAACTAGACTGGTAAAGTGCTTATGATTCAAACGATTATTATCCTCATATTAATAATTTCTGTTATGTATGCAACTGCAATAGCTCAGATCTCACTGGATTGCTTCACGAATCGATTTGTCCAATCTCTCATGACTCATGTATGGTCTCATAAAAAAATATAATAGAGAGTATCATATAAAATTAATTGTTTTAGCGCATGGGCTGATCAGTTGACCCTGAGATTACGTTTCCCACTGGGATAATCCTTGAATTTTAATGGTTGATGTATTATTTTAGTACGCTATTCTTGTGGCTCTCCCAAGGGCATTTCTATCATTTATAAATAAACTCAATTTGTGTGCTTGTCAACCTCATATTTTCTGGGTGCTTGTAAAATACACTCTCTACGCCATATCAAAACTTTTCGATACAGTTAGTGGGGCCTTGTGACGCTCGGATTAGAGTAGCCTATCGTGTCACTAGATCATTTGTCTTCGCTCTTGTTAAGCGAGTAAGGTGAACTCGTACTAGTTTCAAGCATATCAATTGACGAGCATAACATTAGACTACTTAATTAAAACAATAATTTTCCCATTAACCCTCTGCATATTATTAAGATGTTGAGTGAAGTTTAAAGTAGGAAAACGACAAACTGATAAATTGATATAATCCATCAAAAGATCACTTAGTTTACAGAGATGAATGACCTAATTGACAATGATAATTACTTGATACAATTTATAAATCAAATGCTAATAATCAGTTTTTGTTTATGAAAGTCGTGTTACTAGTCAAGTGTTAAAAACGAAAAATAGGTGAGTCAATGTTCAAATCTATGTTTAACATGTTAATTGAACGTTGAATAGTCCTAATCAAATATAAAGAATATTTTTTGAAACCATGAATCGATCAATGCTAGACCACCATTAGAAACCTGGAAGCACTGGACGACCGTTTCGTCCTGGTATGGGACTCCTCAGTAGTGCGCATCCACGACTCCTGCACCCAGCAGGATTCGAACCCGGGGCCTTCGGTATTGTGCGCGAACGCCTAACCATCGGACCACCGAGCCAGTATCTAACGGTGTTAATGTCTAACTTGATCAATTCATGGAGTTGTGCAACCTCATACACAGTCTTCGGTAGACACTGGCTACACCCGAACAGGTTGAACTTCACTGGTCACGTCTTCCCACTAGAACTCGGAGAAGATTCCTCACGAAGCTGGTCACTAGTGAGCACAGGTAATTTGCATTACGGCGTTGTGAAGATTATTAAGTTACACTTTTTTGAAACCATGATAATAAACAAAACATGTATCATCAATATTTTGATGGTTCTGTGTTCTTTAAGACTAGATAGTTGAGTTGCGAAATTTTCAGTGTCATTTTGGAGAACACCATTCAACGCCTAGTTCATGAATGTGATTTGAACGACCATTATTACAGTTGTATAATTAGACTATCAATTTTAGCGAAAATAACACTAACAAAAGGTAATTGTTAGTTATGTCCATAGGTAACCAATTAAATCGCGGTTTAAGAGCTCACCACATTGATCTGGTCTGATGTGTCTGTAAACTATCTCTGTCGCATGTGACCGACCAATTGAAAGACATTATTATCCGATTATATATTAATGGGACTCATAATTTTATTCATCTTTCGATAAGACACGCAATATTGATCAGTTATGTTTGCTCGTTTCACTTAACTTAAATAGCTGTAATATCCTTAATTATTGTACTAATCTAATAATTTTTACATTTAAAAACAGGAAGTTTAAAGTCAAGTTGTCCTTGTTCTAGCTAGAGCTTTTACATCAACTCTGTGCTAGCCAGCAGCGCATTTATGATTTTAGAAGTATATCTGTGCGACTAATCAGATTCTACAGTAACATAATGCAAAAATAAACATAATGGTAATAAAAATAACGCTACATTTTTTTTGAATTAACTAACCTCGGCATTTGTGGACCACAAAGTGTATAAATAAAATTACAGAACATATTTTTACGTGAATAAGGATTCCTATGACCAGCTTGTTTTAATATTCGTGGAAAATGACGTATCTAATCAAAAAAGAAGAAAATATATATGTGTACGGAAAGTAAACTATTCACATTTTTTTTTAAAAAAAAATCAGAAATATTCATAATACAAAAAGATTGGTACAGTTTTAACTCCGCCAGTAGAACCTTCGGGGCTACTGCCGGTCCCAAGCCCGGGTAAAGGAGGAAGGTTGGACATATGGTTGGCGACACCATTCCATCAAATTCTAACTTGCCAAAAAAACGCTAACCAGAAAAAATAATTCAAACCATTTTAACTCTGCCCTGGCAGTTGGAGGAAGAATTATGACGTCTCGTGATGAAAGCCGAGTTCCCTCGGAAGTCACGGGGAAAGATGCCTCTTCTCACAACCAGAGCAACCGTTCTTTTAGGTGAATGGAAAGTTCGTACACTGTGGGAGACTGGAAGACTATTTCAAGTTGCGGCAGAAATGAGAAGATACAACCTCGAGGTGCTCGGCATCAGTGAAACGCATTGGACACAGGACAACTGAGACTAGTTTCAGGGGAACTGCTGTTATACTCTGGACATGAAGAGGAAAATGCTTCACATACACAGGGAGTTGCAATGATGCTGTCCAAACATGCACAAAAGGCACTGATAGGATGGGAATCTCATGGACACAGGATCATTAAAGCATCCTTCAAAACAAAGAAACAGGACATAACAATGAAAGTCATCCAATGCTATGCACCTACCAATGACTACAATGACGACGTTAAAGATCAATTCTACGAAAGGCTGCAGTCAATCGTCGAGAAATGCTCACCAAAGGATTTGACGATTCTTATGGGAGACCTGAATGCCAAGGTTGGAATGGACAACACTGGGTATGAAGACATCATGGGACGACATGGACTGGGAGAAACGAACGAAAATGGTGAGAGATTTGCAAACCTATGTGCCTTCAACAAACTGGTCATCGGTGGCACAATATTCCCGCACAAACGCATACATAAAGCTACATGGATTTCACCGGACCACACTACTAAAAACCAAATTGACCATATCTGTATCAACAAAAAGTTCAGAAGGACCATGGAGGATGTGAGGACCAGAAGAGGAGCTGATATAGCTTCAGACCACCACTTGCTGATCGCCAAAATGAAACTGAAACTAAAGAAGCACTGGTTAACGGGGAAAGAAACATCACAGAATTTTAATACAGCCTTTCTTCGGGATCCCGTAAAACTCAACGAATTCAGGATAGCCCTCACCAACAGGTTCCAGGCCTTTCAGGATCTACACAATGGAGAGGAAGCAACATTGGAGAACAATTGGAAAGGGATCAAGGTGGCAATCACTTCAACATGTCATGAAGTTCTGGGTCAAAAGAAGTACCGTCACAAGGAATGGATCTCTGTTGATACTCTCGCAAAACAAGAAGGCAGCAATCAATGTCAGCCGAACAAAAGCAGAGAAAGTTAAGGCACAAGCTGCATACACAGAAGCAAACAGTGGAGTGAAGAAGAGCATCAGAGCTGATCTAGCAATGACGGCGGAAAAGGCTGCAAGAGAAGGAAACTTGAGACAATTGTACGAAACAACAAAGAAGCTCGCCGGGAACTACCGTAAACCAGAACGACCAGTGAAAAGCAAGGAAGGCAAAGTAATCAGTAACACTGAAGGAGAGCGAAGTAGGTGGGTAGAGCACTTTCAAAAACTCTTGAATCGACCAGCTCCACTGAACACACCCAAAATAGAAGCAGCATCCACGGACCTCCCAATTAATAGGGTTATTATGTAAAGATAAAAACCAACTGATGAATATTCACACCTTAATTGGGTGGCTGAAATTAGTTAGCAAAAAATTTTACTCGATCTAGGTTTCGTGTTATTCGGAACTCGTTAGCAAAGCGTAGCTGTAATCTTGAGAGAACTGATGCTTCCTATGGGGGTAGTTTAGACCAGCATCGAAAAATTCACACAACAGTAAGAACACATGCTGGTGCTATTCTATGACACAATCAAACGTCGAGAGATACCACTTTCATGTCAATCCCAACACTGTATACAAATTCACATGTATCTGCCAAGACAGTTAAATTGGTGAAACAGAAAGAAAGGTTTATGTCTGATTCAAAGAACACATTTAAGGTCAAATGAACTAAAGCATTCAGCAGTGAGATATCATGACATCTCCTTGATACAGGACACCACGTGGATACACCGAAGTCTTACAAGATGATTAATAAACAATCAAGTCGCAAGCTTCTGAAATTTGCCGAAGTTGTAGCCATCAAACGTCTCAAACCGAATTTCATGAAACAGTAATAAATCTTTCTTCGTTCTAGTAATAACCTCACATTCATTCTATTACATCATGTTCATTTCGCTTGAACTCACGATTTTGATTCTAATTCACTGATTTCAACTTGTATGGCAGATCAATATGACGTAGTGAAACTTCATCAGTTGAGGTGGTTGGGACATGTGTTACGTATGGCTAACCACCAACTGCCTCGACGAGCTATGTTTTGCAGTGTAGGAGTAGGTTGGAAGAAAGCTAGGGGCGGTCAGACCAAAACATGGCAGAAATCCGTGAAGTCACTAAAAAGTGGACTGAGTCATGTTGGTAGATGCGGAATACCTGGTTGGGGTCAGCGAGACGAAAATCATCGATGGTTAAAGACCTTGAAAAACATGGCTCAGAATCGTTTGCAATGGCGCAAGTGCATCCATTCTTTGAGCTCTCTCAAATCCTAATCTTCTAGACTCGTCAGCACCTCTACCTTTGTCTTTCTAACCTTATCTCAGTGAGTTATACTTCTTGAATAATATCTTCAAACCCTATTCTTCTTCATTACCATTAATACCTCTACTATCTTTATCACTATGGGATTTGATTTGACATTTGCGTCTCTGTGCTAATATGGTATGGCAACATGAACTTATGTGCATACGTACGAAGTTCTACGTTGCAACTGATTGACTGACTGGCTGATTTCAACTTGTATTATTCTTTATTATCATTCATCTGACCTCAGCTGACTTCGTTACATAACTCTTTGATTTCTAATCACTAGTTTGATATTCAGGAACTATTCCTCTCACATTTTAAATTTTTGTAACTTGTTTTTTATGACCTTATTACCTTTATTGCAAATTTCGCAACATCATGATGTTACGCATGTCTAATCACTTTCATATTTTAAAAGTATGTCAATTTCCATGATAATTTCGATAATTAAAAAACGCCACAGATTGTAAGTAGCTGGTAAAAATCCTAACGAAATTCTAAAATGAATTCATCCTGTTCTGCATTGATCTTCGTTTTTGCTCTCTTCAAAATAATAATGCGTGTATGCAAACAAAGTTCGCCTAAAAAACACACATTATGTAACATTGTAAAGTGTGCATTAAACGAGACCATTAATACAAACAGTATCACAACACAAAACAGATTTATTGGTATATGATAAGCAGTTTGATGATCTCAGATTACTACTAGAGATGGTGAATTTATCTATTTAACTAGAATGGAAATGATTGAAATATATATGAGCAAATATACAAAAATCAATTGTTTTCATATGAAAGAGTAAAAATATTTATTCAGGAGAATGAAATTCGTGGTTTCGTTTAGAATTAATAGAAAAAAATATTGACTAGTGAAATTCAGTGTAAGAACTGTATTCGTTTGAGCGAGTACATGATCAGCAGCAAGACCGAAGGTCCTGGATTCGAATCCTGCGAGGTGCGGGAGTCTTGGGTGCGCACTGCCACTGATGAGTCACATACTAGGATGAAACAGCTGGCCAGTGCTTCTAGGTTTCCATTGGTGGTCTAACACTGATCGATTCATGATTTGAAATGTGTTACTTAGCAATCTTCACAACCCCATAATGAGATTTATTATTGTTGGAAGCTGTAACAAACCTAAGCGTATCAATTAGACAGTCGTTTAATGAATGTTATGTCAGACCAGTAGTAAGGATATGTCTAAATCGTTCTTGTCTGTTACGTATGCCCAATTACCGACTACCTCAACGAGCTTTGTTTTGTGGTGTAGAAGTGGGTTGAGAGAAAGCTAGGGGTGGCCAAACCAAAACATGACATAAACCCATGAAGTTACTGACCAGTGGACTTTCATGTTGGTAGATGTAGGCTACCTGGTAGGGGTCCGTGAAACGAAAGTCACCGATGGTTGGAGACCTTGAACGACATGGCACAGAATCGTTTGCAATGGTGCTGGTGCATTCATCCATTGTTCCTTCAAATTCTAACCTTCTGAATTCCTCATAATCTCTACCTTTCTCCTTCTAAATTTATCTTACTGAATTATACTTCTCGAATCATATCTTCGTTCCCTAATCTTCTCCATTACTGCTAATACTTCTACAATCTCTGCCATTATGGGAGTTGAACTGACTGTTGCGTCTCTGTGCTAATTCGGTATAGCAACCTGAAATGATGTACTTATGTACATTCGAAGTTCTACGTTGTAACTGACTGACTGACTGACTGTCTGACGTTCCTGTCTGTTAACTCATCCTTACAGTTAGAAACAAGGTAAAATTCGTCATGTATGTATGTACAAATTGGTTCAACTTGCTACACCATGTTAATACAGTTAAATGGTCAGGATAAATAACAAAGTACCAGCAACTGTAAAAAACTATTAAGGATAGAGAATAACAATCAAAAAAAAAAGAATCAAATCGTCGTATCATACAGGTTTGAATACTCAGGATCTAGGGAAAGGCAACGTGAACGCATCCAACACATTCAAAAGATGGTGGCAGTAACCACGCAGACCAACGAATATAACTCAAGATGATGATAACTTCCTAAAATGATTCCATGTCTCGGTTTTGGCTTCTCAACTCCTAGGATAGCTAACTCTGCACATTGATTTAGGGGATGGTTAGGCGTAAGCAATAGATGAGCTGATTTACAACCTCATCAACCAATATACCATTTGTATCAATTAATCTGTATCTAACCTTGGCGCTGCTAACTTAAGCGAACAGTACTTAGACAATTATTTTTATACTATCAGTTTTGTTTCAGAACACAGAGTGATACAACAAAATAAACATTTTTTAAAAATCTTAAAGTAAAGAAAAGTTTCTGTTGAAGCAGAGTTCGAATCACTATAACATAAACTAAAAACCTAGGAATGAGTATATAGGAAAAGTCTTCTAGGCATAAACTAATCGACACTTGTTACATCTGTTTTCATCGAACATATAAAGAATGTAAATATATACAATTCAGGATCAGCCTTTTTATTGCTTGATCTTATTGTTGCGTCATCAGAAAAGAACGTCTAGCCTTGGGAATATGCCAATACTCTGTAAGTGATTACACGCAACCATAACACATTGCTGTCGGTAACTATGTCTTTGTAGTTGAGCGTTTATATATATGCGGTGTTTCCTACATACTAGTTTCATTGAGGTAAAAATCATCACAGACACAATTTGAAAGTAATTGAAATCATCATTCAATCATTGTCAGACCACTATTAGAAACCTGGAAGCACTGGACGGTCGTTTCGTCCTGGTATGGGACTCTAACTGAAAATATCGTAAAATGTGCTCACTAGTGACTAGCGTCGTGAGGAGATTCTGGGAGTTCTAGTGAGAAGACGTGACCAATAGAGTTCAACCCTGTCGGGTGTAGGCAGTAACTACCAAAGACAAATGGGTGAGGTCGCGCAAAATCCCTAGATCAATCAGAGTTAGACATTAACACCGTTGGATGCCGGCCCGGTGGTCCGATGGTAAGGCGTTCGCCTACAATGCCGAAGGTCCCGGGTTCGGATCCTGCGAGGAGCAGGAGTCGTGGATGCGCCTTCAAATTTAAAACCAGTTATCCACCAGCTTTGATAGTTTATATTAAGATGTAAAGCTGAGAAATCAATTAGTTTGTCACTAGATCTCGTCCACAAGATTGCAGATATTAGTCAAAGCCTTGGTGTGTGTGTGTGTGTGTGTGTAAGGGTTGATGATATCATTTAGGTTATCCGAACTAAGGTAGGTTGTTGAGAAACTTAATCACTGAAAGTTAAACCTTTAAGCCAATAAACCAATGATTCATCTATGTACTACTGTGAATTATTGATTTGATCTTTAACACATACGGTTCAAGAAATTATATTATGAATCATGTAACCTTAATATACATGCCACTACATATATTGAAGAAGTAAGTAAACTGTAATGTAAACAGTCTTTGTTCGATAAGACTGGAATATTGAATACTATTATACAAACTTTGCATTTTGTTATCGTTTTTTTAACAGACCAACGGTTAATATGTCTGAATTGAAAAAAAGGGTTGAAATATCAACTACATTTGTCACATCACTACTTATTGTCATAACAATTTGTCAACTAATATCGTTTCTTCCTTTACACCTAACCTTTCTATCCATAAACTGAAAATGAAATGTAGACAGTTGAATTGAGTTATGTTGGTAGGTACAGACTATTAGGTGGATGATTGTAGATGAGTCTCGTTTTCTGAGCTGGATGTTTTAGTTGTGGAGCTCTTATTGTTCTTCTGAACAACATCATCAACACAAACTTCATATAGAAGAAGTGAAGTATTCGAATTTCTCCAAGTATGACCGGTAGCTTATTCTGTTGACCTAGATCTTGATTGGTAGTTAGTGACCTTTAACCTGTCGTTGTCTGCCTCTTTATTTCGACTGTAAACCTCTTTGACCAGTTTCTTGACCCTGAGTTTACCAACGATTTTTTGGATTGGTTAATAAATTGGGACAATGTTGATGTGTTCGCTGATTGACTTGAGTGCCAAGCTTTTGAAATTTTCCTAGTTTTCTTTGTACTCTCTCCCATTATTGTTCCAATCGAATGTGTGTCCATAGTTGTGCTGTATTTTTCACAATCTGAACAATTTATTCTGTAGTGATGCTTGGTTTTTCTTCTCTTGTCATTTTGTCCTTATGGTTTACGTAAGATGAATTGAAATGATTCTGTTGGTTTGTGTGCTGCACCTATTTACAAATGGTTTCAGTAATAGTGCTGTAATTTCCAATAATATCTTTTATATAGGATAGGGGACCTTAATAATCAATTTAGATATACAAATGTACTACAATGTGATAAACGGTAACTCGATATTCGTAGGTTACTGGTTTTCGATCATAGGTGTCTTCGAAGCATTGCTCGTATATTGTGGGACACCCGAGTGAGCAACGCTGTTATTACGAATCGGGTGCTAGGTAAGAATGGCAGATCAATAGACGCAGTAGTGACACTTCATCAGTTGAGGTGGTTGGGACATGTGTTGCATCTGGCCAACCACCGACTGCCTCGACGAGCTTTGTTTTGTAGTGTAGGAATAGGTTGGAAGAAAGTTAGGGGCGGCCAAACCAAAACATGGCAGAAATCCATGAAGTCATTGACGAGTGGACTTAGCCATGTCGGTAATTGTCGACTACCTGGTTGGAGTCCGCGAGATGATAATAATCGATGGTTGGAGACCTTGAATGACATGGCTCAAAACCGTTTGCAATGGCACCGGTGCATTTATTCTTTGTGTTCTCTCGAATCCTAGTCTCCTGGATTGTTCAACAACTCTAGTTTTGACTTTCTAAACTTTTCTCATTAAATCATACTTCTTGTATAATATCTTCTAATCCTAACCTATCCGATTACTTCTAATACCCGTACTAACTCTTCTACTATTGGATTTGAGTTGACAATTACATCTCTGTGCTGATGTGGTATGGCGACATGAACTGATGTACTTACGTACGAAGTTCTACGTTGCAACTGACTGACTGACTGACATCATCATCATCATGAATCTAATTAACAATTAATTAGTCTATATCCAAAAAAACGTACTATCTTGAACTATAAAAATTGTTTTTATAAAAAAACACTCATCAAATTTATAAAAAAAAATTTTTTTTTAAGTAACACAATAAAATCTTACAACTTACATCTTCATGTGTGGAAAATCCTCGACACATTAATGTTGTATGATAGCCGGATAAACCGAATACTGTCCACATTGCAGAGAAAGCGATCAATATCTCAATGATTGTGTATGATGAAAATAGAAAATCAATAATTTTTCATTAGACAGAAAAAAAATAAACATATATAAACATTCCATTGCATTCCATTCATTCATTTGATTTGATTTGATTTGATTTATGAGTGATGATGATGACGACGACAACAATTAGGATGATTTAATTAAGGTATTTTATAGCTAATCAATAAATATTGACAGAATAAATTGAGAAACTAAAGAAAATTAGGGAATGCTGATCAATTAGTCTGTGAGAAAAAAAACATATTTAGCCTGAAGCTAATTTTCATCAATAAATCAACTTAGGATTTATTAAAGAGAGACGAGAGAAATATTTGACAGATGTTTTGTTTTAAATTTAGATTTAGTGAACTTGAAAATCAATTTAAGTATCAGCACCTAACTGCGTCACGAGACAAGCCCTTACATGGAACCCTGAAGGCAAAAGGAAGACAGGAAGGCCAAGGAACACACTACGCCGAGAAATAGAGAAAGATATGAGAGGAATGAACTCCAAACAACTTTCAAACAAAACCAAAATCAGCATTTTCAATACAAATGTAAAGACAGTTCTACTGTATGGAGCGGAAACATGGAGATCTGCCAAAGCCATCATCCAGAAGATACAAGTGTTTATTAACAGTTGTCTACGCAAAATACTTCATATTCGTTGGCCAGACACCATCAGCAACAACGTACAATGGGAGAGAACAAACCAGATTCAGGTGGAGGGGGAAATCAGGAAGAAGCGATGGAAGTCGATAGGACACACACTACAAAAAGCACCTAACTGCGTCACGAGACAAGCCCTCACATGGAACCCTCAAGGCAAAAGGAAAACAGGAAGGCCAAGGAACACATCACGCCGAGAAATAGAGAAAGATATGAGAGGAATGAACGCAAATTGGACATAACTCGAGAGGGAAGCCCAGGACAGAGTTGGTTGGCGAAAACTGGTGAGTGGCCTATGCTTCATTGGGGGTAACAGGCGTAAGTAAGTAAGTAAACTAAGCTGACTGTTGGTTTATATTTATCATTGATTTAGGCAATAGTTTGTAATTGATGTGTGAAGCACATACATAACTTGGTTGAACCTTGTTATTATACTTAATTGATGACATTTGAATGACTGACTGTTCAACAGATGTGTAAGTGTCTTAAGTTCAATTTTATTTACAAATCAAATAAAAAATGTAGAGCCCTACCAGGAAATAAATACTTAAAGCTGTTAACATTTTTAATTATTGTTCAAATTATGATAGGGTGAAATGGAAATTCTGCTAAAACGAACAACTTAAATTAGGAGTAAAATGGATTCATTAGCTTAGTGAATAAGATGTTGACGTTCCAGGTGATTGGTAATCGGTTCGATTTATAGTATGAGGAGTATCAATACCGAGATGGAGGTACAACTACTAGCTGACAAACTTCAAACAAGACAAAAAGTCGGGCATCTTGGATTTTAGAACTAGTCATAAGTTCAGATTAACCAAAAACTCAAAATTCAAATGGCAACATAAAGATAATGCATCCACATGATATCTATGAAAACAATAGACTTTTGCAGAAAGAATGAAATATGCTCGAAATATATAAACTAATTGTAAGTACCTAACTCGAACCTGGATCCCATCTAGGGGGCTACTGCAGGTCCCAAGGAGGAGGGGTTGGCGATAGGGATTTGGCGACCCCATCCCGTAGAAAACTAACCTACTAAAAAAACTTTCGCAAGTAGAACTAATTTTAAATATTTCTTTCTTTCTGTATCTGTTTCTTGTAAAAAAAATCTTTACAGTATCACAACGTTAACCAATCATATATACATGCATAAAACAAAAATAATTATCATAAATCACATGAAAAGGATATGAAGCTGGAGAAATCTTGATAGCTGTTACAATATCTCCATATTTTTCGTATACTATTCAAAGCAATAATACGAAGATGAAGTAGTAGAATATTCGGCCATACATTGACGACAATCATCATTAGCATCAACCAACATTGCCGACCAATGAGTATCACGCCAAATTTGATTGTATATAATCCAGGAGACAAGGAGAAGATAAATTTTTTAGTTAAGAGAAGGGGGAATGAATAATAATATTAATAATAATAACACTAGACTACATATAATTTCTTCAATTAGAGTTATGGAAATCAGTGAAATCATCAGTTACTGATTGTTAGATTACCATTAGAACACCTGGAAGCACTAGAAAAATGGCCATTTCGCCCTGGTATGAGGGCATCCATGACTCTTGCACCTCGGGGAATTCGAGAACCCAGTGCTTCCAAGTTTCTAATGGTAGTCTAACAATGATTGACTGATTGATAATTTCAGTATGAATAAATGAAAAAAAACAACTAATCACCAATAAATCAATGTAAACACTCAATGAACTGACACGAATATGTTGGGAATGTTAGATCCCCAAAATTCGCTTGATAAATGCCTTATTTTGGTTTTCACGTTTGCCAGCATGGGCTGAGATCAGTTGACCTTGATATTTCAGTTCCCACCAGGAAAATCCATGGCTGTGATTGACTGCTGTGTATTTTAGTGTGCTATTTTCTTAACTGTCTCAAGGACGTTTCTATGTTGTATAAATAAACGAGAGCTGTATGCTTGATTGTACTGTGATTGCTGGGTGTTTGTCGAATATACTTTCTACGCTTACAAAGCCTTTTATCTTCAGCTTGGGATTCAAGGTAGCCTATATGGACACCAGGTCATTGTCTCGTTCACGTTTATCGACTAAGGTAAACTCGTAATAGCTTCAAGCATACTAAGTGAAGAACCCTACAGAATATAATTCAAATTCTAATATTTCATTAGCTTATTTTACTTCAACTTCGTCTACGTGTGATTGATATTCATTCAATAAAATTTGTTTATATGTTCAACAACATGAAATATTTAGTATTTTTTTGATCAAGTTAGACATTAACAACACCGTCAGATACCGGCTCAGTGGTCTAACGGTTAGGGCGCTCGCGCACAATACCAAGGGTCCTAGGTTCGACTCCTGCGGGGTGCAGGAGTCGTGGATGCGCACTGCCACTGGTGAGTCTCATACCAGGACGAAACGGCCGTCTTTCAGTGCTTCCAGGTTTCTAATGGTGATCTAACATTGATCGATTCATGGTTTCAAAAATATTTTTTTCAAAAAAAATATTCTTCACAGTATTACGTCAATAACAATTTGAATTTTTTTTTAATGAGCAATTGTTCTCAACTGATCAAATCAGATCACATATTGTTAGTTGAATAGGTGAAATTTATTTATAGCACAGAAAAAAACATTTGGACCACTTGATCAATAAGTGAGTAGTGTTTAATTGTAGTTTGTTTGTCTAAACAAATTCTATTCAATTAACTTGTAATAAAGTGATTAGTTTAAACAATTTGGCACTGTTTATATATATATATATATATATATATATATATATATATATGCAGTGTGTTAACGTTGATTCAATAACGCCTCAAAACTTGGCTAAGAATCGATCACTATGTTACAATAGCAGATAATATGTGGGTCTCACATATTTTACATTTCAAATCCATATTTATGGATAGTTTTTCTTCTGATTGGTTGAAACTAATTTTTTTCCATCTACTTATATTGATTGATACATGATTAGCCATGATGAAATTAAAAACTAACGGACAATTTTATTATGATGGTGATTAAATGCATTTGATAATAATTAATTATGAAATCATGAACCGAAAGCAGTATTAAACCACCATTGAAAACCTGGAAGCACTACAAGACGGCCGTTTCGTCCAAGTATGGGACTCATCATTGGCAGTGCGCATCCACGACTTCGACCACTACTCGCAGGAATCGAATCCAAGACATTCGGTCTTAAGCACAAACGGGTAGAACGGGGTTTCAAGAGACCAGGAATGACGTTTCGTGAACTCGCTTCGTCTGCATTAGCGGTGCGGTCATATAAGGGGATGTGATTAGAGTTAGTTGTGGAGAGAAGAGAGGTATGTGTGGGTGTAGGAAGGCTTTGATTTTGACCAATTTGGTCTCTCGTGCTGTTATGGGTATGAGGGCGGTTATCACTTCCCGGTTGCCCACACCGTGGAAGGTTGTTTCTTGAGGGACCTGAAAAGGAAGATAGATAAGTGTTGGTCTTAGAGACCTGGGAACGTGATCGCAGAGTCCAAGGGACAACTGCATGAGGCCGGTCACGCACGGCCTTTTTATTAAAGGTTTCTTGAGTATTAGCTCCGCTTTTGAAAGCCCTTAGTGGGCACCCTTACCGCCAAAGACGGAAATCCGTGAGGCGTGACATTTGTAGGGTCGACCTTTTCTAACCATTCCTTCCTTGTCAGAAGGCAGCATCGCTGCAGATGCTGGTTGTCCGAGGGAAACACCTTACCGCTGTCACACCCTTCTGCAGTCAGCAGTACGACTTCGCCCTCAGACCTTGGGTAGCTGCTTTTAGTCTCATCGTTCTCCAATCGACCAGCCTGGCATGGTAGGACCTGCAGGAACATATGTTCCAGCCAATATAGCTCGGTTGGGTCATCACGATAGGCAAACCCGACCACCACCACGTCAAGGTAGCAGCTACGGTCGGGCTGAGCACAAACGTCTAACTTCTGAACCGTTGAGCTTAGAACGAAAATCACCATATGCTAATGAGTCCCATATCAGGATGAAACAGCCATCTTTCAGTGTTTCCAGGTTTCTAATGGTGGTCTAACATTGATTGATTCATAACTTCAAATAATGACTTTATACTAGTCAGATAATAAATTAATAATTATCTGAATTTAACTTAACTTTGCGCAAATAACAAGTTCAAAATGTGACAGACATTTTATGGAAGTTGACAAGTTCTAAACTAAAAAAAATAACATGTCTCTCATTAATATTATTTTTTGAAAAAAAAAACAAACAAACCAACCCTTAATCTAGTTTGAAACTTTGAATATGTCCACTGTATGACTTGATCATGAGACGTTACATTCATATATATATATATATATATATATATATATATATATATATATATATAATTCATGTATATGTACATAATTTAAAAGTTTATACATATATAAAAATGATGTATATCTTATCTATCTATACGTTGAATGATTTAAATAGAAGTTGAAAACATATAAACACTCCTGTATGACTGAATGATGAAACGTGAAAAAGAAAAATCCCATAACGACTGATCATGATAACAATCAACAGATAAATTAAAAAAAGGGCGAAGAGAATAAATAAATTTTCTACCCCCCCCCACCCGCTCGCCCAATAAGACTGATGGTAATCTTGTAGACAGACTATCCAAAATATTGAAAAGAAAGAAGATTATAATTTACTTGTTTGTACAACACACTTTGTGAAATCTCTAAGCCAAAAATAAAAACACAACATGACAAATAATTTATTTTATGGAAAGAAAAATGTCGTGATGATCATCTATTATTATTTTTTCCTCAAAATAAAAATTTAAGGAGTAGAAAAATAAAATAAAATTAAATAAAATTGTTAACAATAAACTTAGTCGATTACATAATACGATGGATAGATAGATAGATAGATGGATTGTTCACGAAAAATGGTTGATTTTGAAAGAGAACATGAAATGAAATGAGCGAATGTAAACAATAATATTTATTAGGTTGTGAAATAATGCTGGAGAATAATTATTATTTCTATGGAAATGATAAAACATTAAATATGAAAAAAGGGACAAACAAACAAACGAATGATTTAGTCAAATAACAGACAAAATGAAATCTTGGGGCACAGTTTTGGAGGTTTGTGTTTTTACACATTTGAAATCATCAATCAATCTTTGTTAGACCTGGAAGCACTGCAAGACGGCCGTTTCGTCCTGGTATGGGACTCATCAGTGGCAGTGCGCATCCACGACTTCTGCTTCTCGCAGGATTCGAACCCGGACCCCTGGCATTGTGGGGCACAGTTTTGGAGGTTCGCGTTTTTACACATTTGAAATCGTCAACCAATCATTGTTAGACCTGGAAGCACTGCAAGACGGCCGTCAAGTCCTGGTATGGGACTACTCATCAGCAGTGCGCATCGACGACTCCTGCTCCTCGCAGGATTCGAACTCGGGACCTTCGGCATTGTAGGCGAACGCCTTACCATCGAACCACTGGTCCGGCATCCAACGGTGTTAATGTCTAACTCTGATTGATCTAGGGATTTTGCGCTAGCTCACCCATTTGTCTTTGGTAGTTACTGCCTACACCCGACAGGGTTGAACTCCATTGGCCACGTGGATGCGCACTGCTGATGAGTCCCATATCAGGACGAAACGGCTGTCTTGCAGTGCTTCCAGGTTTCTAATGTTGGTCTAACAATGATTGATTGATGATTTCAAATGTGTAAAATGAAATTTGGCCTATGGTGAAAGACAATTAGTTGATAAAGAAAATGTCAGAAGCTTTACGGTTAGAAAGAGTTAGAAAGGTTGTGTAAGAGACTATTCAAATTGAAGACAGTTTTGTTTTTCAAATAGATTTTTAGAAAACAAATATAGAATTACTCAACTTTAACCATGTTGCTGGATTGTTGAGGATCCATTTAAAGAGTTTGACACTGTGACTGCAAACCAATGGTGCATACAAGCTCAAGAATGATGTATGAACTTATTCTTTGTCACCAGCTATCATGGGACTGCAAATGTTAACACTGTTTCACTGCTTTGTGGATTAGATCTCTGACTAAAAGTGTTGGGGATATTAGATCCCAAAAACTCGCTTGATAAATGCCTTATTTTGGTTTTCACCAGGAAAATCCATGGCTGTGATTGGCTGCTGTGTATTTAAGTGTGCTATTTTCTTAACTGTCCCAAGGACGTTTCTATGATGTATAAATAAACGAGATTTGTATGCTTGATGGTACTGTGATTGCTGGGTGTTTGTAGAACAAACTTTCTACGCTCACAAAGCCTTTTTACTTCAGCTTGCGATTCAAGGTAGCCTACCTAGACGCTGGTTCATTGTCGCGTTCGCGTTTATCGACTAAAGTGAACTCGTAATAGCTTCAAGCATACTTAGTGACGAACACAATAAAAAGGCTCACGGTTGGTCACTTCAGAAAACCATACGCTTTGAGTTGGCCAGCGCCAGAGAGTATCCTAGCCCATTCAAAAATTTAATGATCTATGTGGCGCATAAATATTTAGGCATACATTTGTACTAATGTTTATACATTTAAATAAAAAATCTTTTCACTGCAGGAGGCTGCATCGAAAAAAAAGAGATTCGATCTGGTTTGAGACCTTTCAGTAGTGTAACTTATCATTGATGGTTGGATAAACAGAGACTACAAACATAAAGATGTACAATACCCTGATAAGTCACTACGTCGTAATTCAAATGAACATATCTCCAAATTTATTTGGTTTGTGATATAGCATGACTATCGAGGAGTCCCATCAAAGCCAATAAAACACAAAACCGTTTGACTGTTTGTTTGAGTTATGTTGAAGACTTGGACACATGGTTAAGAATCAGTCACAATGTTTAATTAAGAAAACTATAATAAGTCAAATAGATTGAAATAAGTGTGGAGAGATTTGTATCAACGATCTATTGTTTGTACGTCGAGTAATTCAGCGATAAAGTAACAACTCCATAAAAATGATAAAATATTATCAAAATTTAATTAATGACGAAACAGACAATAAATATGAAAAATCGAGAGGTTATTTATTATTGGCAAAGTAGGTTTGCCAGGTTGTTAAATTTCAGTATACATAAAATGAATTGACATTAGTCATACTGTGGTGTGAGCTACTTATAAGTAGTATATGACGTGAGTGTCAACGTAATGTCTGGTAGCTGAAGATGGGGGGAAGATCAAGAAAGGAAGAGCGGGAACACAATGGAATTTGTATGAAACGCATCATGAATAGTGACAATGGATTGATGTTGTTTGCAACAGGAACAGTCCAGTTCGATAGGATGAACTGATATTTTGCAAATGAACAATTTACGATATGGTGTTCTGATTTTACTGAGTAACTCTGTAATTTTCGTTAAATACAATTCGGTTGCCCCACCTGTGTTCTCCTTCACTACAATACAACTATTAAAAACCAGGAAATATTGAACAGCTGCTGTTGTGTAATAATAGTATGAGAAGAACTCAACAATCAACATTCACAACCTTATTGTGAAACAGAGTCACAGCTTTTAAGTTTGACATGTAAATCATTGGATGTTGACTCATTTGTCTAGAGGTTAGGTGGTCGTCACTGAGCGACCTAAAGATCCTAAGTTTAACGTTCTGTGAGATCAAAGACGCCCACTGATGAGGAGACCCCTAGTAATTTATGCCAGTAAATTAACGAATGATCATTATAAAAATCAAAGTTATATATATATACATCAAGTACTTACATAAAATTAGATTGACTATAGAAAATATCAAAATATAAAGACAATAAATACTCAGGGAATATATGAACAATATAAAATAACGATAGTTTCTTTGGCCAACACAATTTCCAATCCATGGACAATGATGATCAAAACGTTCTACAAGGGATTGAAACAACAACAACGGCAATAAACAAATTAGCGATAAAAAAAGTACAACGATAAAAAATGTATTATTACTAACATAAAGATTCTGAATGTGAATGTGATATTGTTGGGGATGCTAGATCCCCCCAGAACTCGCTTAACAGAAATGCCTTATTTTGGATTTCACGTTTGCCAACATGGGCTGATCAGTTGACCTTGAGATTTCATTTCCCACCAGGAAAATCATTAGCTGTGATTGGCTGCTGTGTATTTTAGTGTGCTATTTTCGCAACTGTCCCAAGGACGTTTCTATGATGTATAAATAAACGAGAGTTGTATGCTTGATGGTACTGTCATCGCTGGGTGTTTGTAGGATATACTTTCTACGCTTACAAAGCCTTCATACTTTAGTTCGGGATTCAAAGTAGCCTACCTGGACGCTGGTAAAAGTCTCGTTCGCGTTTATCGACTAAGGTGAACTCGTAATAGCTTCAAGCGTACCTAGTGACAAACCCTACAGATATTGACGAAAGTTTAACAACCATTCAAACAAACCAAAAATCACTCTTTACATATCTGACTGAAAACATATTGGGCTATAAATGATTGAAGTAATGACCAAAACTCTCTCTCTCTCTCCCTCTCTCTCTCTCTCTCTCTCTCTCTATATATATATATATATATATATATATATATATATATATATAGTCCAGCCTAATAAACATTTTTCTAACTTTTTTCAATCAACATAGGTTTGCGAATAGGAACAGTACATATCACCAATAGCTGGTCGTTAAAAACAGTAAGGATAAACAGATTTACTGGACTTGGATTTATGGAACAGATATTCACACTTCGAAAGGTTCTAGAACACAGTCACACATTTCGGTATCTCATTATAGTTGTATTCTTTTAACTCCGTTTGATCGTGAAGTTCTATGACAGTGTCTGTCATTGAAAGGTGTACCAAAGAAATACATTAGCCTTATACTAGATCTCTATTCGAACACTACTGGTCGAGATAGAGATTATGGCGAACTGTTATCGCAATTAGTTACTTCAAGTGGTGCTCGTGAGACGTGGCCACTTTCGCTATTCTTGTTTAACTTTATCACTGTTGTGCTTTTAGATAAGACACATTGATTATTTGACTTTCCAGGGAGTTGAACTACGTTTTGTGGTGTAGGAGTAGATTGGAAGAAACTTAGGGGTGGTCAAACCAAAACAGCCACAAACCCATCAAGTGACTGACAAGTGGAGTTAGTCATGTTGGTAGGTGTAGACTACCTGATTGGGTTCAGCAAGATGATAGTAATCGATGGTTAGCAACCCTGAATGACATGGCTCAAAATCGTTTGCAATTGTACAGATGCATCTATTCTCTATGTTCCCTCAAATTGTAATCTTCTGAATTCATCATCACCTTGATCTTTCTCTTTTTAAGTTTATTTAACTAGATTCTACTTCATGAATGATATCCACGAAACCCAATCTCTCCGATTACTGCTAACACTTTTACTACCTCTACTACAATGGAATTTAAATTGACAATTGCATCTCTGTGCTAATATGGTATGACAACTTGAACTGATGTACGTACGTACGTACGTACGAAGTTCGAGGTTGTAAATGACGTGACGAGACAGACAGATTCATTGTCGATACACTCTTGGAATTCATAACTTTATTTCATACACACATCACCTTGTTCTACTTGAATTAAACAACAGACAATAAACAGTATAATAAGGAGAAGTGAGAAGATTAAACTATACCACAAGATTACTGAAAACGGTTAAACAATCAGTGCTTTTCAACCGTAACGTAAGTAACGACGCAAACTAACCATACTTATCAGTAAAAGACTGCATAAAAAAAACGGCTTTTGATCTCTTTTTCTCAGTCAGTCAGTCAGATGCAACGTAGAACTTCGTAAGTAAGTACATCAGTTCATGTCGCCATACCACATCAGCACAAAGATATAATTGTCAATTCAAACCCAATAGTAGAAGAGGTAGTAAAGGTATTAGAAGTAATCAGAGAGGTTAGGATGAGAAGATATTATTCAAGAAGTATGATTCAATGAGAAAAGTTTAGAAAGTCAAAACTAGAGGGGTTGAACAATCCAGAAGATTAGGATTTGAGAGAACACAAAGAATAAATGCACCGGTGCCATTGCGAACGATTTTGAGCCATGTCATTCAAGGTCTCTAGCCATCGATTATTATCATCTCGCGGACCCCAACCAGGTAGTCGACAATTACCGACATGACTCAGTCCACTCGTCATTGACTTCATGGATTTGTGCCATGTTTTGGTTTGGCCGCCCCTAACTTTCTTCCAACCTATTCCTACAATACAAAACAAAGCTCGTCGAGGCATTCGGTGGTTGGGCATACGCAACATATGTCCCAACCACCTCAACTGATGAAGTTTCATTACTTCATCTATTGATCTGCCGTTGTTACCTAGCACTCGTTTCCTAATAACAGCGTTGCTCACTCGGGTGTCCCACAATATACGAGCAATACTTCGAAGACATCTATGATCGAAAACCAGTAACCTACGAATATCTTCTACTCTCACTGGCCATGTTTCTTATGAGTTACTATTTATTATTCTTTTAGAGAAGATAATATATATAGTGCGAGAAAAGAAATATGTTTATCTGTAACAAAAAAAACTGAAATTTTTTCTTATTTATTGTTAAAAACTAAATAAACACTTCAACTCTATCTACTATTAACAACTATTTGTACAATAGTTGTTAATAATCAATAATTATTGAAACGTTCAGATCATAAGATCGTACAAAACTTTCTATTTTTTGTTTTTTTGAAAAAAAATACGAACGTAGCATATGTATGTATGTATGAGCGTTTTGCTATTATCATTTTTAATGATCATAACTAACTGCATAATAACTTATGCGAAAGCATGAATGATTGAAATTTAAAACTGTGCCAAATCGTTATTAGAACCTAGTGAACGTACGTACATGGTGGTGCTCACCAGGGATGTTTAAAATCTCGTTATTTATATTTAATTTGATTATATAAATATCCTTCTAAAGATAACATGTTTTTTTATCTAACCTTCAAAGATCAATTGTTTTTATAAAAATCCAGTTTGAAAATAATAATCTGCATTACGGAGTTGTGAAGATTGTTAAGTTACACATTTTCCAAACCATGAATCGACCAATGTTAGACCCCCATTAGAAACCTGGAACCACTGGACGGCCGTCTCGTCCTGGTATGGGACTACTCATCAGCAGTGCGAACCCGCAACTCCTGCACCTCACAGGATTCGAACCCAGGACCTCCGATATTGTGCGCGAACGCCCTAACCGATAGACCACTGAGCCGGCATCTGATGGTGTTAATGTCTAACATGACCGAATTCACGGAGTTGCACAACCTCATACACAGTCTTCGGTAGACACTGCCTACACCCGAACAGGCTGAACTTCACTGGCCACGTCTTCTCACTAGAACTCGGAGAAGATTCCTCACGGAGCTAGTCACTAGTGAGCACAGATAATTTGCATTACGGGGTTGTGAAGATTGTTAAGTTACACATTTTTGAAACCATGAATCGATCAATTAGCTAAAATCAACAATAAGCTTTATAATGAATTGTCTTCGACATTAAACTATTGTGTATATCGCTTATGGTAAAATTCTGTAACAGTTTTAAGATTCAGTGTATGTTAGACATTGAACTTTCAATCATTGTTCTAAATATATATGAATTGATTTAATAACTGAATAATATTTTGGGGCAGAATTTTGGAGGTTTGCGTTTTTACACATTTGAAATCATCAATCAATCATTGTTAGACCACCATTTGGGACTCTGCCCCAAAATATCGTAACAGTGCTCACTAGTGACTAGCTTCGTGAAGAAATTCTCTGAGCTCTAGTTGAGAAGACGTGACCAATGGAGTTCAACCTTGTCGGGTGTAGGCAGTAACTACCAAAGACAAATGGGTGAGGTCACGCAACATCCCTAGATCAATCAGAGTTAGACATTAACACCGTTGGATGCCGGCCAAGTGGTCCGATGGTAAGGCGTTCGCCTACAATGCCGAAGGTCCTGTGTTCGAATCATGCGAGGAGCAGGAGTCGTGGATGCGCACTGCTGATGAGTCCCATACCAGGACTTGACGGCCGTCTTGTAGTGCTTCCAGGTTTCAAATCGTGGTCTAACAATGATTGATTGATGGTTTCAATCTGAATAATAATTAGATAAAGATGTTAGCTGGTGCCCGAATAGATTAGAGAAAATACATTAAGTGTGTAAAACAGTATAGTAATTAAAGAAAAAGAATCCTTAAAATCATATTGCTGAGTGTGAATACTTGAATAGACAATGGAACAACAAAGTACTAATCATCCCCTATAAGTTGTAACTACATAGAAACACCTTTCATTTACGTAAATCATAAAGTAAGTAGTCTATGAAATCTAAATAAAATTAGCCGGAAAGAAAATGAGATATATTGGTTTAGTAAACTTGTGTGTTAGACTAAGAATTATACCTGTCATGTTGAATTTGAAAGAAGAAAGGATTTCAGATCATATTTTGGTAGTTGAGAAATCAATAAACTACAATTTTACTCAACATCAAAAAGAGCGTATTGTACATTGAACAGAATTTCCAATCTATAAAAGTTATCTTGATAATTTTGCGATACCGAAGAATACATAAAAACAAGAAATGTAGTGTTAAACTTTTTTTTTCAAATTGACTTACCAACACAATTATCACATGAAGAGCAATGTGATGCTCTAGGTGGACGAAAAAATCGACAACTATGACAATAATTAATTTTGACTAGATGATCTCCAATAAGTATTTGACGTGTCCTAGCACCGGGTGGATAAGTTCGAACTGTGTTTAAATCATGTTCATTTTTGTTATTCAAGTCATTTATAGGTATATTTCCAGTACCTGATTTAAAAAAAAACAGATTATAACATATATATATTTTTTACAATAACGGGTATGCGAAGTTACGCACTAATTGTAACGATTTATATTCATTACAGAAAAGTAAACGAAATATCTCACGACTATTTGACTTATTTTGCGCAGATAAAATAAGGTGAGGTAACACTTGATCAAACAACCTTGTTATCTTGATAACCAACTTATTCCTGTTTCAAGTTGATGAATGATTTACGTTTACCAGATTAAGTTATATATGATAGTCATTATTTAACGGTACTGGAATATAGGGCTGATGACATAGTCCTACCTGGTGAAGACGCTGACAAAATGCAGAGTCTTCTGACTACCCTAAGCAACAATGCAAGCATGTTCGGGATGCGGATTTCCCCCTCGAAATGCAAAATGTTGCTTCAAGATTGAGTTTCATTGGCACCTGAACTAGTGATAGGGAGTGAAGTAGTTGAGCGTGTTGACCGATTCACTTATCTTGGGAGTCTCATCAGTGCTGAGGGCCTGGTGACTGACGAAATATCAGCTCGGATACATAAAGCTCGATTGACTTTTGCCAACCTGCGTCACTTATGGCGTAGGCGAGATATCCATTTGCTGACTAGGACGAGTTTACCGTGCAGTAGTTCGCTCCGTCTCACTTTATGGCTGTGAAACATGGCCAGTGAGAGTAGAAGATATTCGTCAGTTATTGGTTTTCGATCATAGGTGTCTTCGAAGCATTGTTCGTATATCCTGGGACAACCGAGTGAGCAACGCTGTTATTAGGAAACGAGTGCCAGGTAAGAATGGCAGATCAATAGAGGAAGTAATGAAACTTCATCACTTGAGGTGGTTGGGACGTGCTGCGTATGCCCAACAACCGACTGCCTCGACGAGCTTTGTTTTGTAGTGTAGGAATAGGTTGGAAGAAAGTTAGGGGCGGCCAAACCAAAACATGGCACAAATCCATGAAGTCATTGACGAGTGGACTTAGCCATGTCGGTAATTGTCGATTACCTGGTTGAGGTCCGCGAGATGATAATAATCGATGGTTAGATACCCTGAAATACATGTCTCAAAACCGTTTGCAATGGCGCCGGTGCATTTATTCTTTGTGTTCTCTCAAATCCTAATCTCCTGGATTCTTCAACACCTCTACTTTTGACTTTCTAAACTTTTCTCATTGAATCATACTTCTTGAATAATATCTTCTCATCCTAACCTCTCTGATTACTTCTAATACCTTTACTACCTCTTCTACTATTGGATTTGAATTGAAAATTATACCTCTGTGCTGATGTGGTATGGCAACATGAACTGATGTACTTACGTACGAAGTTCTACGTTACATCTGACTGACTGACTGACTTGAATATAGGAACTTACCATCGTATCTTAAAATTTGTATGTCTTTATAAAAAAGCCCAAATAAAGTCACCTAGCTTGGGAGTGTAAGTCTACCAAATGTGAATATTAGTGGGTTAGTAAAGTGACATGATGATATACTGGGCTGATGAAACATATGTCAAAAGACAAGTGAGTAATACCGACAAGAACATGCTAGTGGTCGAGATTCGGCTTAATTTTCTGAAGAAACAAAGATACGCTATTTGTTGAAAATCTGGCTTTATTTTTTGAGTGAGATAGATATATACTTATGAATACGTTGTGTGTATATTCCCATCTCAGTTAGCCAATAAAAGCTTCATAATACTCTTGGTCTTCTCTCTTAAGTGGCAGATTGAGCTTGTATACATGGGTTTTGAATATTATTAACAGACTCGCATGACCACACAGCATAGTAAATAGTATATACACTTATTGCTCAAAAGCGTCCTAGTGTAACTAAAGAAGGGCAAAGCTGACTATCCCATTGAAAATGTTTTCAGACGATTACGCATAGCTGATAAAATGCGATAGGGAAGGTGCATACACTACATCAACAACAATCTGAGAACGGATGCTCCGATCTTGGTGGCCTGCTTGTTTCTTAACATCAAACCATTTCAAAAAAATTGCCTCATTTTGTTTGTTTTAACACGTCAAGTGTGTTTGTTAACCGCATAATCTACTGTGTGTATATAGAGAAGGTATACGATCTATCGCTTCACAAGTTACAAAAAATGTATAATCAGAAATACAGTGATGGTTGGCAATATACATTAAAAAGGAAACTTGTTGAAATATTCAGGGCTAGGAATCTCATATTGCACTAAAAAAATAATATTAAACAAAACCATTATTACTATGATTATTATCAAACCAGATAATCAGACAAATATATTCTTCTAGGTTTTTCATTAATTTTTCCTATTGATTTCGAATAAGATAAGAACAATGAACGTGGCAGAATAACTGCTTACAACCTAAACATTGTAATATTAATTATTAAAAACCACTGCACATATTTTATATCATAACATCGGATATTATCTTTAGTTGTGTAGTGTATTAAAATACATACGTATTAGAAGATACCATAAGGAAGCAAACTACAGCTTTACTTGAATGTTATTGATTAAACTGTTTAATAAAAATGTGAAGTCTCGTCACGTCAACCTATTTTTCTCAAGTTTAAGGTCCTAATAGTGTCAAATATCCTACGAAAACGATATGAATATTTCAGTCATCAAAGATCGAAGCTAAGCTTGGATTGAAGCAAATAACTTTACATATTTACACTAGTAAAAGAACATGGTTTAAATCAGCAAGCCTACCGATCGACATTTCAGTCCATTCCATTTCAGGACGTGTAGCTCGTGGTATAATTCCCGGATCTGTGAATGCTGAACGAAGAAATGCAGTAACAACATATAAGAATTGGATTGCTGCTAAAATAGGAACAGCAGGAGTCAAGACTGGAGTCAGAAGACGACATTCAAAAGTGAAGAATAGAACTGTGACCCCAACAATTAAAAGAAGGCTAACAGTGAATATACACATATCCCGGGAAAAGACTCCTCTGCCATGACAGCAAAATCTGTTACGTCCAGGATGTAGACGATAATAAGCAACACGAAGACTTTGATTATCCTGCATGTTCTAAATCACTGAACTCAACAAGCATATTTTCTTTACGATGGAGCTATTACAAAGACATCCAGCATGTTTGGTAAAAATTTACTAAAAAGAAGTAATGAAGTAACAGAAAGCTAATAAAAAGCCAAGGTAGCAGTTTAAAAATGGATATAAAATAGCTCAGTAAGGAAACTTATTTGATACAAAAACTGTGTTAATTGCAAGTTATTGACGACAATAAGTAGTTACTAACTAAAACGGTGTGTAGAAAAGTATGATATTTATCTTCTATATTTAATGACAAACATTTGACCAATTCTAAAATATGAGTAAAATAGTAATGAGAACATAATAATGCCGCGATGAGTAAACAAAGAACCGTAATTAAATATTGGACAACAATATTTTAAAAGAACAAATAGTTCTAAAGTTTATTAGTTCATGTTAAGTCAGAGACCCCCATAATTATGTGTTGATTGTGGTTAATATTAAATTAGTACCACTCCTCGTGGAATTATTTGCATACAATGGAAGAGAAATTTGTAACGAATGGTTTTTTTATCTATGAATTAACAAATTTAGGTCAGTAAATTATTTCTTTTTTTACTTGGAAAATAAAGACTTATTAAGGAAGCTATTTTACAATTACTTATTGAATCAAAAGGTGGTGTTTTTAGTTCAAGAGAGGCAAAGTTAGCTTGATCAGTAATATTCCTACAATGTATATCTTTTTCGGTATACAGAAACTGAAACCCAAGGATGAGAGAATGGATTAAAAGACCTTCAGTGGTTAACTGCTTTGAACAAACATTCTTTTCCTAGCGTGTTTAATCATTAGAATTTCTAGAAAGGTCTACATAACCGTTTGAAATAATCACTCTTGATTGGATACTGTATTATGGGATCGATAATTATTCGTATGTTTTCCCCACATTGAGAAACATGGATACGGTTCGAAATACTTGAGCTATTGTTTTTTAAATGGGTGAGAATTTCTATTTATTTCCAACTTATTTTCAGCCATTTTAACATAGCATTTTTAATCCACTATTACTCCTTCACTGCAGAACTCCCTTTCCTAAGTTTTAGTTATAATAACTATCACAAACGGATCAATGGTTACAAAACTATCTGACAGACGTTTAGTTTTGATAGGATTGCACAACTAAAGTTTATTTTGCTAGGATGCTGCTAGGTAATAAGCACTATCGAAAATTTCAGTGACTAGGTACAGAATTCAGTAGTTGGGACTGTCTAGCTAGTGTTTGCACAACTGCCCCAATTATACTTAATAACGAATGCATTAGTTCGTGGATTTATCTCATTAGGTTTCGTCAATAAATGGATAACAGATTATATGAACTAAATTTGTGGAATGTATGGTAGGATAGCAAAGAGAGGTAAAACAAACTGATGAGTATCTGACCGCAATAAAAAACTATTCAAAAATGATTACTAGTGATTTTTATGCTCGGATGACTAGTTCCATGTGTTACTACAGCCATACTACTTTGGGGTTAGAATAATATTTCATGAAAATAAGGTCTTCATTAGAATTTTTCGGAGGCGAAATAAAAAAATTCGAAAACAGGAATCGCACTATGAGATATCACCTTGATATTACCTCGGATATTGCATGTGATGCCAACTTCAACACCAAAAAGAAACGATGCGTATTTTAGCACCTTACAACTGTAAACTCTTAAATTAACCGAATCAATAAGCCGATTGCCATCAAAGTAATCAAGCACTTCGAAATTGAATAACAGTTAAATATTGATAAGATTTAATAACGACAGATTGACAAAGTGAATTTATTTAAATATCTGAATGTAGCAATAGTATTTTAGTTAGGATAGAACAATAAAATGATATTAGGTAGTTTTTATGTCCAACAACCAACTTCGAACAATTTGGGAAAAAAGTCTGCACTTCACACAGATGTCAACTTCATACAAGGCCGAAGGACACAGGTGTGACCTACAGATTGCACCTACCACCTAAATTCAAGGTAGTACAATATTCAAAACACTTCAGTATGTGGGCCTGAATTTGTGTATTGAGGACAGGAAAAAGACTCACTGCATTTTTCAGCGAGCCTGTGTGGGTCCCTTTTGTGTCTGAATGAGCCGATCAAGGATGTGTATGAAACGTTTTATAGTCAATCAGTCAACAACATCATAGAACTTCGTAAGTTCGTGCATCAGTCCAAGTCACCATACCACTTTAGCACACAGATGTAATTGCCAATTCATACCGCATAAGATTAGAGGTGATAAAGGTATTAGCAATAATCGGAGAGCCTAGGGTTCGACGATATTATTCAAGAAGGAGAATCTAGTCAAAGAAACTTAAAAAGAAAAAGATAAAGGTGATGAGGAACTCCCTAGATTAGGGCTCAAGAGAACACAAAGAGTGGATGCATCTGCGCCATTTCAAACAATTCCGAGCCATGTCATTCAAAGTCTTTAACCATCGATTATTATCATCTCGAGGATCCCAACCAGGTAGCCGACTCCTACCAACATGGCTCAGTCCATTTATCAGTGACTTCATGGATTTCTGCCATGTTTCGGTCTAACTGTCCCTAGCTCTCGTCCCACCTATTCCTACATCGCAAAGCATGGCTCGAAGAGGCAACTTATGTCCTAAGCACCTCAACTGATGAAGTTTCAATTCTTCGTCTCCCTATATGTCACTCGACCAGTGGTTTTTGAGTGGAGAGCTTGTATAAGGTTAATGTACTTCTTTGGAACACCTTTTGATGACAGGCACTGCCACAGAACCTCACGATCAATAGAGTCAAATGCCACTTTAAGGTTCAGAAAGACGACTAATGTCGGACGCCTGAATGTGTGTATGCGCTAGGACCTGTCGAAGTGTGAAATTGTGGTTAAAACAGTCACGACCAGGTCGGAAACAGTTCTGGTTTTATCGAGTCTATTCTTCAAGAGCCAAACTTAAGTGTTTGAGTATTAACGTAGCTAATATTTTCGATACTATATTAGTTAGACATATTCACCTGTGATTGTCACAAGAAGACTTTTGTCTTTTCTCATAAATTGGGACAATCAGGGATTGAGACCAGTTAGATGGGTTTGTGTCCAGTCCCCAAATTCTACCTAAGATCTCAGTTAATTTAGCTACTAAAAATGGACCAACATCCTTAAAAATTTCAAGGGTCAGTTTATCAGGACCTGCTGCTCTCCCTCTATCGAGAATCCTCTCGCTTACACAACTTCATAAAGAGTTGGAGAAATTACGTCTATTTGCCATTCTAGTTGACTGGAGATCGTGGGCAACTGAAGTGTGGCTGAGGACTGGTTGAACTGATCCCTAAAGTGCTCTGTCTATCAATCAAATCTCCTGGATTGAGAATAAATAATATGTCCATCTTTTTCCGAAACACTCTCACCAACAGTCTGGTTCATAATACTAGTTTCCTTGATAAGTCTGATTAGCTATCTACTGTTACATATTGCCGTCGCCTTTTCCGTCTCTCTTTCGTCAGTTACCCACCAATGTACGTGATCATTGAGCAGGCTTTTTATCAGCCTGCGCTTAAGCTGACTTTGCTGTCTGTCATTTTTAGAGCCAGGCGGGATGAATTTTCGAGCATCCATCAGTTCGGTAGATGCTACCGTTTCTCCTTAACTTAGTGGTTTACCTTACTGTCCGATAATACCCCCATTTCTACAGCTTTTTCAATATCATTCAAGCTGTCTCGGGATGGGAATCACCAAGAAAGCCACCTAACTTGTTTTCTCAATGTTGCTGGAATATATTCTTAGCTTTGTTATCATTTAGTAAAACCGTAAGACATTTCGTTGCGATGTCTTTCCTACGTCTATTAAGTCTCAAACAAATTCGTGCTCACACTACAGCATGATCTGAATATAAACAAGTGCTTCAGAATGAGTGACAGTTTTCAACGGATCCTCTCATCCGATGTCTTATAGCAATGTGATCTAGTTGGGTTGATCGTTAGATCAGCTTCGAGGGTCGAAAGGTGAAAAGATGCTTTTCATTATTGTACTTCATTAAATGTAATTATTACAGGAAAACTAAGATCATTCAATTATTTCGTTTGCTTATGAATCGATATAGTTTCCTATATAATCCAAGTCGTCTTGGTAATGCCGGTATAAAAGACGAGAAAATGTCAAGTTGTAAATATATTCGTGGTATCCTGTACATTAAAACGAACTGCAGATCAACATTCAAAACCAGCTATATATTATACTCACTAGTATAGAACAGTTGATTTCTTTCGTCATGATTCTTGTTCTTTCTGTACAATTCCGGGTATTTGGTAACATCCAGTAGTCTAGGCACTCGACCGCAATAAGCCTAGTCAGTCAGCACCTATTTATAAATTGGTATATCCCGTGGTTCCAGTCAGTGCGTTTGTTTCCAGGTATTAAGGTTTCTCGAAACCGGAAACTATCACGTTATCAGGACGGAGATCAGTTAGTTGCAGTGTGGGAAATAATGGGGAGAAAATTCGGATGCTAATAAGATTCCAGAACTAAGTAGACAGATTGATAAATAATTTAATTAATTGGTAGTGAATATTGTTAGAGAGGAACAAAGTGTAAGCGAGGGAAAGGAAACAGAAATAATAAGCGAGATTGATTGGGTCAATGATCTGAGGAAATGGCAATAATAACAACTAGCAAGTTTCAAACCGTATGTCCAGTACAACTGATCCAAGAGCGAAATGATAATCCGTATGTGAGTACGTGCTTATCAAGTCGGTTCCTAAAGCTTTCCACTGAAAGTCTGTGGTCGTTTCGGCTGAGAGAGCATTTCCAGTCGTGACAACCCTTAATGAGAAAAAATGTGTAAGAATCTGGGTGTTCGCTCTTTTATGTGCAATTCTTTCGAAGATCACCTTGAGAAGAGTGGTGGTGATGCTGCGGTAAGATGCTCAAGTTCAGATGATTTTGAGTGCTTAATATGTTGTACGCGACTATCAGATCGGCTCTGATTCTCCTGTAACTCAGCAAGAATAGTTTCAAGCGTTGGAGTCTATCTTCGTAAGGTTCATTCCTCAACCCTATCACCCATTTAGTTGCTCGTCTCTGCAATCAATGCGAGAAATTTGTGTCTCTTATAAGGAGAAGGGGTACGACGACGCTTTGAAATTCAAGGGGTGGGCGTGCGTATGCTTTAGCGAAAGTTAAGAACAGTTGCGGAGCGATAGCACCAGGTTGTATTCGCATTAAGTGAAGAGTTGCGTTAGCCTTGGTTGCGTCCCTCATATAGTCCAAACTGGTGTCTAGGTTTACGGTGGTTATTAGACAGAGATCGAATTCAGAAAAGACGTACTGTACCAGCGTATACTGAAATGTAAACACAGAATAAACATCGGTATAGTCGCGTAAACTTACGTACTTACGCCTTTTACCCCCAATGGAGCATAGGCCGCCCACCAGTTTTCTCCAACCAACTCAGTCCGTGGATTCCCATTCCAGTTCTGTCCAATTTTTATTCATTCCTCTTATATCTTTCTCCATTTCTCAGCGTAATGTGTTCCTTGGCCTTTCTCCTTTCCTTAGACTTTGATGGTTCCATGTGAGGGGTTGTCTTGTGACGCAGTTGGGTGCTTTTCGTAGTGTGTGTCCTATCCACTTCCACCACTTCTTCCTGATCTCCTCCTCCACTGGAATATGGTTTGATCTCTCCCACAGTACGTTGTTGCTGATGGTGTCTGGCCAACGAAACCGAAGTATTTTGTGAAGACAACTGTTAATAAACACTTGTATCTTCTGGATGATGGCTTTCATAGTTCTTGCTTGTGATGCACATACTTGGGTTGTTGTTATCTACTTTTGTCGGTGAAAAAACCAAGGTTCTTTTGGTCGGGAGTGGTACGGGAGAAACGAAGACATTTTGCTGATCAAAACCTTTATATAATTATCATTAATTTCACTGTGTTTTTTGGGTGTATTTGTTTTACTTAACCTGTGAACTTGTTTGAATTATTATTTTCGGCCATTTTGGACTCCCGTTTCTCTTGGTTGTTCGTTTGCAGTGTTTTGCTCCAAGAACCCATAAAATAGAAGGTAATTGTAATTATTATAATTATTGTTGTTAGAACGACATTGGTCGTCTATTTGTAATAACATATTTTGGTCGATTTTGTGATTTGGAATAAACTTTGGTATCTACTTTGGAGTTCTCCCTTTGGTTTAATATTTGGAATCGTGAATTGCAAATAGATCGACAACCGTGCTTCAAAGGATCAAAAAGCAAAAAACTGGACGTAACAAAATTTCTTCTATTTTAATTTTGTCATATATTGGATTCTTTTGGTCGTTTGGCTCCTGAGGTTCTTCAATTCAAATTTTGGTCGTTGGAAACTTTTGGAAATTTGGGTCCAAATGTTCTTCTAACTTTTAATTTGGTCGTTGGATACTTTGGACACTTCAATTTTGGTTCTTTGGTCATACTTTGAATACTTTTGGACATTTTTGTTATTATTAGTCGAATACGTTTGGATTAATTTCACATTTGCTTGGTAATCGATTTCGAACAAAAGCATACAATGGAAACTAGAAGCAAAAAGCTCTAGGAAATTGACGAAATGGAAGGTAAAATTTCTAAAGCTGTTTGTGGTATGTCTGATGTTAATGATGATAAACTTGGTGATATTAGTGTTAATAGTAAGTTTTCATCTCAGTTTAGTACTTCTAGATTGAAGTTAGATAAGGCATTAATTAAGAAGAAGAATTTGGAAAAGAGACTTGAGTTATAAAAGCAGCTTAAAATGTTAGAGCTTCAAGAGGAAGTTGATATGGCTGAATTAGAATGTAAGCTCATAGAAAACGATAACCAACTGTCAGTAGACAAAGCTGAGATAAATTCTAAGGTGGAAAGATACTTGGATTGTGATATTGCGCGTAATAAGGTAATTAACACCTCAAAATGCGATTGTATAGATGATTTAAAGGACACGTTACGTGCTACGGTTAATAATACAGTTTTG